AAGGGAGAAAGAGAGACACACTGAGGGACCTCTGGTTTGGTATCCCAAAAAGTATTAAATTTGATTGTAGCTGCGGTGAGGATAAATTCATTGAATGGAGATGGAAGTTATTTTTTACTTTATACTATTTTCTAGCATTTGAAATTTTTCCATGAGCATGTATTACTTTTATGATAAAAAAAATCCATTTCTTCCTCTCCACCTCATCTCCACTTGTTTTGGGAAAGACATATTTACTATCACCTGTAAATCTTTTGTAACAACTCATAACAAAAGAGCCTCCATTTGCACAGTGTTTGCTATATGTGAGGCAGAGTGCTATATTCCCTAAATATCTTCCTTATTCCTCACTACAATTCTAAGGGTAGGTACTACCACCATCTTTTTATACATGAGGAAATTGAGCCTCAGAGAGATTAATACAGTTAAAATGTCCATACTACCCAAAGCAATCTATAGTCAATGCAATCCCTATCAAAATACCAATGGCATTTTTCACAGAACTAGAACAAATAATCCTAAAATTTATATGGAACTATAAAAGACCCCAAAAAGCCACAGCAATCCTGAGAAATAAGAACAAACTGGGAGTTATCACACCACTTGATATCAAATTATACTACAAGGCCATAGTAATCAAAAGAGCATGTTATTGGCATAAAAACAGACGCATAGATCAATGGCACAGAATATACAGCCCAGAAATGAATCCATGCCTATATGGTCATTTAATCTATGACAAAGGAAGCAAGAATTTACATTGGGGTAAAAACAGTCTATTTAATAAAAGGTACTGGGAAAACTCGACAGATACATGCAAAAAAATGAAACTGGATTACCTTCTTATACCACATGATACACAAGAATAAACTCAAAATGGATTAAAGACTTAAATGTAAATCCCAAAGCTATAAAACTCCTAGAATAAAATATAGGAAATAAACTCTCAGACATCACTTTTAGTAATGTAATTGGCAATTACAGAACACTCCACCCAACAGAATACATATTCTTTACAAGTACTATTATGAACTAAATGTGTTCCCCTGCCTACTGCCAATTCATATGTTGAAGCTCTAACTGCAAATGTGATGGTGGAGGTGGGGCCTTTTTACTGATATATCTCCTGAGGCAAGGGAAACAAAAGAAAAAATAAACAAATGGGACTACATCAAACTAAAAAATTTTTTCACAGCAAAGGAAACCATAAACAAAACAAAAAGACATCCTTCTGAATGGGAAAAGATATTTGCCAGTGATACATCTGATAAGGGGCTAATATCTAAATTTATAAAAAATTCATCCAAATCAACATAAAAAAACAGTCTAATTAAAAACTGGGCAAATAAAAATTTTTTAAAAAGAATAGAGGGGCTGACTGAGTGGCTCAGTTGGTTAAGAGCTTGCTTAAGAGTTTGAGCCCTGAGCAATAGCAGTTCGATTCCCGGCCCGAGCTGAGCAGCCGCTGAGCTGCCAACAGGGGGCAGGATGGCTCAGCTTAAAAACAAACAAAAACAACAACAAAAAGAATAGACATTCTTCCAAAGAGGACTTACAGATGGCCATGAAAAGATGCTCAATGTCACTAATCATCAGAAAATGCAAATTAAAACCACAATGAAATACCTGTCAGAATGGCTATCATCAATAAATCAATAAATGTTGGAGAGGATATGGACAAAAGGGAACCCTTGTGCACTGTTGGTGGGACTGCAAATTGGTGCAGCCACTATGGACAACAGTATGAAGGTTCCTCAAAAAATTAAAAATAGAACTACCTTATGACCCAGCAATTCCACTCCTGGGTACTTATCCAAAGAAATCCAAAACACTGATTTGAAAAAAATATATGCACCTGTGTGTTTACTGCAGCACTATTCACAATAGTCAAAAATGGAAACAACAGAAGTGCCCATCAACAGATGATTAGATAAAGAAATTTTGGTACATTTATACAATGGAATATCACTCTGCCATAAAAAGAATGAAATCTTACTTTTTGTAACAACATGGATGGACCTAGAAGATATTATGCTATGTGAAATAAGTCAGACTGAGAAAGACAAATACCATATGATCTCACTTATAGGTGGAATCTAAAGAACAGAATAAACGAGCAAACAAAATAGAAATAGACTCATAGATAACAGAGGACAAACTGATGGTTCCTAGATGGATCTAGGATCTAGATCCATCTAGGAACCATCAGGTTGAAGGGATTAGGTGAAGGAATGAGGTGAAGAAAGGTGGAGGAATTAGGAAGTACAAATTGATAATCACGGGTTGTCAAATATAATAAGGGGGGTATATAATCAATAATGTTGTGAAGATTATATAGTGTCAGATGAGTACTGGACTTATTGGGGGATCACTTCATAGATTATACAAATGCTTAACCACTGTGTTGTACACCTATAACTAATATAACATTGAATGACATATATATGGTTATGGGATGCAAAGTACAGCATAGGGAATATAGTCAATGGTGTTCTAATAGGTACATACGATCTCAGATGGGTAGTAGACTTGATGGGGTTATCATTTTGTGAGGGGTGTAAATGTCTAATCATTATGTTGTTTTGTACACCTGAAACTAATAAAAATTTTTTTAAAAGAAGCAGACCCTCTTCTGAGGGGTTGGAGGGAAACCCCTTTTTTTAAAAACAGAAAGAAATTGAGATTTTTGTAAAAAAAAGAAAAATGCATGAAAATGTGAACTATTTCATCATCATTATTATTATTCTCTCAAACTATCTGAAAAATTGCTCATCCTCACCACTCCCCCACTTCCACCTCCCAAGATTTTAAAAACTAATAAGACATCCGATTTTGTGGAAGTCTTTCTAAACCCAAATGATTTCCATGTGTACAATTTGCCCCAAATGCAAAGTTCCCTATACAGTGAGGCAATATGACATGTTTTAAATTCTTGGAGAGTAAGCTGTGATCAATTTGTCAATTGCTTTGGGGTGCCCAGAGCTGCTCAAAACAAACAATATTTGTGTCCTATATCCCATACCTGCCTGTTCATCTTTCTTTTCTTTCTCCATTCAGCATGTTGATCAGGATATTAATATATTACCTCCAATGCAGCATTCCCCCTTTGCATCTCACTACCTGTTCTTGTAGATTTCACTTTTATACATCAATAGAATCTTTCCATCCCAGCATGGTCTTGCTGTGCATGGAGAGGGAGGCGGCTTTAGGGAAGAAGCCAAGAGAGCACACACATTGGGAGGGAGCCTGAGAAAATTTGGCCAAAGATTGGAAGGGCCTGAACACATTTCTCAGGTGTTTCATTTGGCAGACTGTGGAAACCAGTCTTTAGATGGATTTTTCAGTTTTAAACAATATAGTTTGATTCATATTTACTAGCCTTGAACTGCATGCAAAGCTGCCATTCTTTATACTTTTCTGTCTAAATTGTCTTGATTTTTTTTAAAAAGATTTTTTATTGGGGAATTGGGGGGATGGGAACAGTGCTGGGGAATTGAGGGAAGGGGAACAGACAAGTTGCTGTCCTTTTGTGCTTCAGTCTAGTTGTGGAGGACGTTGCTTCACTGGCCCAAGTTGGCACCATCATTGCGCTCTTCCCGGGCGAGGCACATCAGNACACCTCGTATGTTATATTAATATACACAAGTTTGCAATTTTTGTAAATATAAATATAATAAACTAGAAAGAGAAAGCTGTTTATGAATAATGCTTATAAATAACATTAAATGGGAAAAATTCAGTAAATGAAGGTGAACAACCTCTATGGTTACACTTATGTGATAAGGAGATGTGGGTAAAGATCAGGAGGAAATATTTATAATATTAGGATATTAGGATAGATGGTTTTTAAAGTGACATTTTAAAAATTATTTTTAGGTATTGAACGGTAATAAAATGTCAATAGGTTCAACCTTTCTAAAGTACAATACGTATCAGAAGTCTTAAAGATAAGCCTACCCTCTACTTCTACAACTGTAGCCTAAGAAAATAATCTGCCTAATGTATCAGGACACATCTCTAATTCCAGAATATTTGCCCCGGGATGGTGTACTGCTGCAAAAACAAACAAACAAAAAGCTATCATAGTAAAAATAATAACAATAATAATTCAAGCAAAGGAAATCTGTCCTCAGTTACAAATACTTTAAAATTTAGCTGTTGACCTGAAAAGGTATTTTTGATTATGACAGAGTGGTCATTGCCCCCAGTGCCCACTCTTGCCCTCTTCCTTTCACGGACAGGATGCCTAAAGCTTTCATGCTGCCAGAGTAGGAACTATATCCCTTTTGTGCTTCCTTCATGTGGGACACACATGGAGGGAATCCAGCTTCAACCAGGCAGCAGAGGACAGTATGCCAGGGGTGCAGAGTGACAGTGTGGAGGGGACTGTGACCCTGCACGACTTCCTAGAGTACTGCCACACCCCCTCCACCACAGTACTGGGCCACTGGCATCTGGACTGATTTGTGAGAAAGAAAAACTATTTATTTAGAGGCTGTATTTTGGCATCTCTGATACAGCTACTTAGCCTGTATCTAACAAATAGAATGCTGTTTAATTAAATAAAAAAGAAAGATACATGCATGTAGTATGATCCTATTTTTGTACTGGAAATAATTACACACAAAAAACAGCATAATATTGCACTGAGAGAGTTCAGGACATGCCATCACAAAATATGCTGCTTTGGCCACACTGATTATTTTGAGTTAAAGACACTTGTAAAACAGCAGATGCAAAGAGGATACTTTGAGCATCCTTCTTCTTTGTAAAAGCATGAGATAAAATTCCCATGTGAAAGAAGCCATCCCTACGCCAGGAGGAAGAAACATTCTTGTCACTAGAGACAGAGGGGAGGCTGAAAGAAATCTGTACAAAAAGCCCTTGTTAAAAACACGCTTATTTCTTTTAATCTCCCATATTTATTTTAGTGACTTTTTCACAATTGCTATACTTTGTTCAACCTATTATATTAATAGTATATAAGCTCTTGGGCCTAGTCACTTCTTTGGGTCTTCATTTTTCTTGTGAGACCTCCCATGTACGTATAAATAAAATTCATATGCTTTTTTACTGTTAATCTGTCTTCTGTCAGTCTCAGTTAGNGGCACACGCATGTCTTTCACATTGTAAGTGGGAGGGGAAGTCTGTAACAGAAACCCACAGAAACCTCTGTTGCGGTTGTTTTAATTTATAAAAACACAACCAACACTCTCCATTAAACACTCGTTCATTTGATCTGAGAATAAAAGGCTACATTTTGAAAATCGTTCTCAGTTTACTTTTCAAGTTACTATTACCAGAACAAAAAGAAACCTCACCCACAAGTGCAAGAGTACTAACGCTAGTACTGCTAGCTACTGAGCTGCTACCCTGAGCTGGGCACAGTACCGAGAGTCTAATCCCCTGGGCGGGAGGCGTCCTCCCAGGTCGTCCATGCGAAGCAGCAGAACCCAGCGGCTGGGAATGGGCTCAGGAGTCCACACTCGCCTACTTTCCCTCCCTCTGGGTGTAACACGAGTCACAGAAGTTCTCTAAGGCTCAGTTCCTTCATCTTTATTCATAAGTATAATCACATCTATGTCACAGGGGTGTTGTGAGAATTAAATCAGAAAAACATAGGCAAAGTGCCTCATACTTTAGAGCACCTAGTGCTTGAGAAATGGTAAATGTACTGCGTGAGGGAGAAACGGCTTGGACAATGTAATCTGGCCAAGGCCCTCCAGCTACCAGATAACACCTGGGTGGGCTTGTCTGACTTTAAAACCCGTGTTCCTGAACACTATGATGGATGGGTGACAGTGATAGTTGTTATACAGAGTCAGGCAAAGGGCAAAGAGCGGAGCCCCGGTCTGCAACACTTAGGTTGCTCTGGAATTGAGGTGCTGTCTAATCAACTCTCTGAAACATCTCCACAGCCCCGAGCCCAGCCGGAACCCTGGGAACTCAGGAGGGCTTCCTCGATGAGTTTTCAGGGCCTATTCTGATTGCAAAGGCTTTGAAAACTTTACCTGGTTGTAATGAAAATAATTCTTGGAACTGCTTCCCCAGTCAAAGGCTTGAAACTTCTTCAATTTAAATGTCTAAAAAGAAGATAATTTGGAAAAAGTTATCTGACACAGATGTCTGAGATACCACAGATAACCACAGTTAGCCACATCCTAAGATACCGATTTTACACCAATACCCAGATTTACTCATTCCCAAGCTGTAATTTAAAATACATGGCATTCCTTTGCTCTCCTTTACTAAATGACTCAATTGCTCATTGTATCATTGGAAAGTAGCTATTGCATGACACAATAAAGCAGCTATACACACATGCTGTGAATGATATTATTAGATCAATGGTTATACCCGTTAGATAAACTTAATGCTGACAGTTTTAACTGAAATTTAAACCTTGAACTTTTTCAAAGAGTTAACTATCTTACTCGGGAAAGAAATATATATAT